ACCAGTCAGATGGGATTACGTACAGTTCCCAAATTCTACCTAAGACCTCGTGGGAAACCGATTTGTGGCTGAAGGTCAGTTGGACTGATCCCTGAAGTATCCTGCCCATCGATCCAATCTCCTGCATTGAGAATGTATAATATGTCCATCATTTTCTGAAATTGTTTCGCTAACAGTCGGTTTCGTTAACAAGTCTGAACAATCGTCTGCTATTACCTATTGCCGCTACCTTTTCCATCTCTCTTGCTTTCGCTACCCACCACTGTTCACGATCATTGCGTAGACTTCTTGTCAGCTTGCGCTTAAGCTGACTCCGCTCTTCATTATGTTCAGAGCCAGGTGAAATGATTTTCCGAGCATATATCAGTGCGATAGATGATGCTGAGATCCAGTGTTGCTCCCTAACCTTATGGTTTCCTGTACTAGCAGATATCACTGCGGTTTCCACAGCTTTTCGGATATCATTCCATGCTGCCTCGGGGTGGGCATCACATACATGGCTGCCTAACTGTTTTCCTAGTTATTCCTGAAATATACGCTTAGCTCGACTAGTATTAAGTAGGCTGTTATGACCTTGAATCGCTTTTACCCCGTCGATACCTGGTTATGACTTGACCTTGATCTGTCTAGTCTAGATTATGACCTTGACGCGATAGACTGAGCGGCTTAACCTTGAGTCTAGTGCGCGTGAGTTCAAGATGGGGTAGAGAGAGAACTATTCTAGAACCTGATTGGTTGGCAAGCACGCAAGTGAGAGAAGGCAAGACAGTTGGAACACTGAATTCTCTGAATTCGGATTAGTGCAAAAATGTACATGAATAAATAAATATCCTGACTACAACATACGATAATAATACACTTGTGCCCGAAACTGGGAATTAGGGTAGAAAATAAGATGCAAAATAGTATGTTTAAATTACAATATTTTCAGAACAAAAAAGGGTATGGCAGTGAATGTTACATAGAACGAAAGCTCATATTATGTAAAATAAAATAGGGAAAAAAATAAATATAAGTGTTTTACAAGGTTTGAATGAAATGAAATAACGTCCCAAGAAAATAGCTTTCGTAGTTATCTGGGCTTCTAATTTCCCCGTTCACAACATAGGCCCCCAAGAGGTTTCCTTGCAGCGTCTTTCCTACGTCCAGTAAGACGCAGACAGACACGCGCTCGTACTAGAGCATGATCCGAATCTAAGCATGTGCTCCAGAATGAGCGACAGTCTTCTATCGGTGGCTGATTGCGATGTGATCTATTTGGGTCCAACATTGGGACGAAATAGGGGTCGCCATGTTAAAAGATGTTTTTGCTCATGCTTAAAGTTAGTATTTACAAGGAACAGGCGGTTATCTGAACATAGCTGCAACAGACCGTCGCCATTAACTGTTCTTTGAGCCACGATGCTATAAGACCCACCCAGGTGTCTTTCCCTACTGCTTAGTTTACTTACTTGAGCGTTAAAGTCACCTGCCGCTATTACTACATCCGAGAGCCTAGCTTTTCGGAGGTCGGAGAGCTTTCTGTAAAACTCATCTTTTACATCATCTGAGCTGCAGTCAGTGGTAGAGTAGGCAGAGACGACGAGTGTCCCTATCTTTTCGGATCCTTACTGTTCCGTTTAGTCGGATAGCGCACAAACGACTGTCTTCTGGGATCCACTCTAAGAGAGCTAGTTCTGCCCTAGGACTCAATGCTATACCTACGCCGGCGAGACCACGGGAAGCAGAATCTGGGCTTCCAGATACACGAAGTGTGAATCGAGTCGGTTCTTTATTTTGGCATGGTGCAATCAAATGAATGACGCTACTCGGATCCTGTATGCGCGTTTCGGAGACGCAGCACACATCGATGGCGCGGGATTCTAAAGTCCTAGCTAAGGAAGCCTGTTATCCTATTTGGCACAGTGTTCGGACGTTAAAAGCTCCTACGTGTAGTTTAGAGCGTGGTTTCAGGAGACCAGGAATAGCGTTCCTCGTACTCGAATCCTTTGCCCTAGCTGTGAGAGATGGTAAAGAGACATGAGGAGGGTTAGTCATGGAGATAAGAGAGGTATTAGGAGGTGTAGGAAGGATTTGAATGTGACCAACTCGGTCTCGTGTGCTGTTACAGGTATGAGGGCTGGTGTCACTACCCGGCTGCCCACACTGTGGAAGGGTATTTCTTGAGGAACCTGAAAAGGAAATTGGATTAGCGTTGGTCTTAACGACCTGGGAGCGTGACCGCAGAGCTCAAGGGACAACTGCTTGAGGCCGGTCGCGCACAGCCTTTCCGTGGAGGGTTTTTAATGTGTTAGCTCCGTTCTTCAAAGGCCTTACCGCTTGAGACGGAAATCCGTGAGGTAAGGTGAGGTGTGACATTTTTAGGGTCGACCTTTTCTAACCCCACTTCTCTTTGTGAGAAGGCAGCATCGCTGCCATGCTGGTTGTCTGAAGGAAACACCTTACTGCTGTCACATCTCTGTACAGTCAGCAGTACGACTTCGCTTTCGGACCTTAAGTTTGTTGCTTTCAGTCTTACCGCTCTTCAACCGACTTGTCTGACATGGTAGGACCTTGAGGAACGATTGTTCCAGGCAGTATAGCTCGGTTGGGTCATCACAATAGGCAAGCCCGACCACCGCGTCAAGGTAGCAGCTTCGGTCGGGTTTTCCAACATCACCTAATCTTTAATGATTACCTAACTAGTATCAGTCTGTGACATAAACTATGCAATTCAACAATCTTTACAAACCTCTCATAATGATTAGAATTTTCTTTAGTTAAGTGATTTGTGGATATTTGTTCAGACTAAAATTACTAACGAATTAAACATGGTTATTTTTTTTTAAAAACTCACTAGTCTGAAAATCAGATACTTATTGACATTTATTATCAACATAGAGAACAAACAGACAAATCTTGAACATTTAACACAGGCTAAAACGGCATTGATTATATTCCATTACAAATAGTATGTATTTAAACACCACTTAGAGGAACATGGTGAAATTCACAACGCGTGACATGTTTAATGCTCACAAAAAAAAACATGGAAAAAGGGCAAGATAAAGAAAAATCATCGTAATTAATCAGAACAACACAATGAGGATGAAGTAAAGCACCAATTTATCTGAGATTAACCAACGTAAAATCAAGTCGGTTAAAAGCGGCACTTGAGTGTGTACAGATATCAATCTATGTATGCATGTATGTATGTGTACGTAAGTAGAGTTGTGAAACCCAAAAGAGCATCGATTATATAAATATATGTTATGTATGTACGAAGTAATAGTGAGAAAAATATCATAGCAACACAAGTCGTATACAGTCAGACGGTCATACAGACAGTTAGACATAAACATTGTATATGTCCAAAATATGTATGTATGTGTCTTTGCACTTACTACCTATGTGTGTATGTCTGCGTGCGCACTTGTAAATCGCATCTATAACTACACTATGAAGCATAACATACAGGTGTGGTGATGGGTGGCGATATCACAGAGAACACACATACATACAGCATGATTAGCTTACACGATATTAACCAACCTACTGTTCAACTAGCTGACTTAAATGTACACACACATAAACCGGCACAGTGATTTACCAAAAATGATTCATCGTGTTTACGGCCATATATGTACTATTATTTTTTTTACAGCTATTGTTACTGTATTACAATTCCGACAGAAACTACTACTATTAATACTACTTTTAACATTACAACCAACCGCACTACCACTGATATTGCTAATATAATGCTAAAATTTTCACCATTGTATCTGTCTACCTATTATGTCGATCAATATAATATGGAGTACACATATATGTACATATATGCATATGTAGGTACATAGAAAGTATCACAAGGTTCTCGAAACCAACACACAAGCATCAAAATTTGAAAAAAAAACAAATAAGCACACAGTAAATTTAGGTAAAATTAAGTAGAATTAGGTAATTTTGCACGATATAGAAAAAAGATATGCATGCATGTATCTATAAATTGTACCGTTGGTTCGAAGTAATAAAGGGAAGAGTATAGGACAAGGAGGAGATTAAAATAACTGCGACTTGTTTTGAACCAATTAGTTCTTAGCCAATCAGAAGACAGTTTTTATAAATGGATAATTGATAGAAAAGAAAACAATCAGATTATAAAGTGTAGACAGATTTTACATATTTAATGGATCAGTTTAGATCTCGTCTATAGCTTACTCTGCCAATAACTGAGAGAAAACTACGTGCAAATTCGTCGTAATGGTCATAGATAATACGCTTTACTCAAACCTTGATTGATTTCGAAGAGTCCCCTTCACCACCAGTGTTCTTAACTAAGGCTAGTGGCTCTTTTTATCACAAACTGTCATTCAAAAGTGCTCACTGTAGCCATATCATGTACTCACTTATGCCTGTTACCTAGGTGTTGGAGCAGAGGCCCCCGATCAGGATTCTCCAACTAACTCCTTCCTGAGCTCCCCTTTTCAGTCGTTGACAAATGTTATTCATTCTTTTGATGTTTGCCTCGAATTCACAGGGCAATGAATTCTTTGATTGGTCTATTTTCCTTTAGGATTTTAAACTAGGGTTTGCCTTGTGATTTAGTTTGATGATTTCCGCAATGTGTCCTATCCATCTCCAGGGTCTTCTCCTAGTTTCCTCTTCAATGTAGCCGTATGGATGAATGAATTCCATGAGAAAATCCAAGATGTGGTATCTGATTATTTGCCCATAAAATATATCACTATCAGATTGAGATTTATTCCAAGATTACAAATTTAGAGTTAAGATTTAATAATATAGCATCTAGTGTCCATTTGCCAGTTGTATAATATTGTTGAACAACATACAAAGGTGTTTCTACTATTCATATAATAAGTGATAATATAATTTCGCTCAAAAACCTACAAGTTATATTCTTGCTTTTGATTAGCTCTTTCCGACAACTATATTTTTATCATAATACATTTCAATTAACAAAATTATAAAACAGAAAAACGTAAATTATAATGACTTACTTGACCAAATGTACCTTTCCCAATTAAGGCTAGAATTTTATAACGATTATACCATACATCACCAATACGCACAAGTCCATGATGATGATGATGATGTGATGGATATACAGACGATGATGCTGATGCTGATTGACAAACAGAATTTGATTGTATTTGACAAGAGTATACAGATGGACCAGTCCCAACACTAGTTGATGGTAATGTGAGTCCAGTACGAAATCCAGAAGCAGTAGTAACAATATTCAAATTAGTCAATGGATATGATTTAGACGGATTACAAGAAGGAAATGATGAACCTGTTCACATGCACACACATTGTTGACATAAAAAAACGTAAGAAGAGAAATATAAGAATGAGACAGCCGGATTTTCGTATGATTAAGTTGAAAAAAGGACTAAAAAATCTTGACGAATATTTTGTATTGGTGAGAATAAAGAAAAAAGTACATTAGACAACAAAGAGAACATGATTCACATTATAAATTCAGTCAGTCAGTCAAAACGTAAAACCTGGTACGTATGTACATCCGTTCAAATTGCCATACCCCATTAGCACTAAGAGATGAAATTGTCAGACAAAATCGAAGAATAGTAGAGTTAGTAGCAGTATCAGTGATAATAGGAAAGATTAGGTATCGAAGATACGATTCGAGAGGAAAATATGGATTAGTGGAACAAAGCATTATAAAATAAGTTTTGAAACTCTAGCTCAAAAAATGGGAAAACAAAAAGTGAATGAAACTGTTGATATTAAGGCGGATTCTTTTTAGCTAATTTACATCCATAATCTATAAACATTTTGAAAAAAAAGTCAATATGAATAATACCTCTTATATCCATATATAATTTCACACTATTTCAAATCTTATTTCCAATTCTATTCCATAGAAGTGGTTTTCAATGTTAGTCTAACATAAATCAGTTCATGATATTATAGCGACTCACGTGCAATCGAGTTTATTCTCATTTAACTCAGTTAAGCCCTTTAGTTAACTTATTTAGCGGACAAAGTCATCCGCACTATAACAACTTATTGTACCCTTATTATTTTGTGCTTGTATGAAATACATATGCTTGAACATTGTTTAGCGCCTACGCATGTATTCATTCTGCTAGCTTCATTATTAACTGCTTAATCTATTCGCTGATTCATCCATTTCCTACAGATATATATATGTACATTTGCACCCATTCACTACAACTACTCGCTACTGCTACAATCGTAGTTCGCTTGCTCATCCATTTTGTGACAGAGAGGTAAGACAAACTAAAAACAAAAAATGTTATTGTTATTGATAAATTTTCTAAGTGAACTCATGAATCAGTCTCTTAAACTCTTCTAATAATCTCAGGCTAAATGTACACAAAAACTTGAACATAAGAAAATGTGCGAAGTGTGAAACGAATGCTTTACTCGAAGGTTAGTCCATGTACAAAAAATCGAGGGTATTTATAGTTTATCAGGTGGGTTTGGGCTTCTGGAACCATACTAAACGTAGTAGCAGGATAGGTAATCACTCAATCATAAATGTGACACGTGACTTCACTTTCTAGATGTCTTTGAGAAACTTATATTGAACGCTAATTTGAATAAAATGTTTCCCAGCATTTCCGCGATCCCTCTGGACTTTTCCCAGGGATACTTTGGATCTTCCCAACACTTATCAAGAAATTCGAAGATGTAACCGTCATGACATTGAATAGTCATTAAGATAAATAACTATTAATCGTTGTGAGAGAAAGGTTGAAGTTGAGATGAACTGTGGTCAGGAGGATCATGGAAACACAAATGAGTCGGTGGAATATAAAAGGTCAATAAGCCCCCGAATGCCCTGGTACGGCCGAGAGTGGGGAGAGTCCGCTCTCCCTCTCGAAATACTCTCACACGGCCGCGCGTATACAGCCTCTGCCAGGGAAGTCCTACTCAATGCCTTCTCATGGCATTACTGTTGTTTACGAAAATGAGAGGACGAAAAGTGAATGTCCGGCGCTTTAACCGGATCACAAACCAATGGTGCACATGGGCTCCAGTATCCTGAGGGAACAAATGGCGTATGAACCAATCGTTGGTCACCGGCTACCAGTTATCTGTTCTTCTCCAGAAAGTGCGTTCGACAGATATTGTAGTACTAGCCGGAGACTTGAATGCTCAGGTCGGGCGTCTAGGCACAGAAGAGAGTCGTTTAGGTGGCCGATGGGGACTCGTTGGTCGCAGGTCAGATAACGGGGACCGTCTACTGCAACTGTGCACAGACCACAACCTGTTTCTGGCTAGCACTAACTTTCGGCACAGTCATCGCCGATGTGCCACCTGGCGTCCTCCCTCTGCATCTCAAGCCTGGACTCAGATTGATCACATCGCGATCAGCTACCGCTGGCGTGGTTGTGTACAAGACTGCCGCTCCTTTTGGAGTACCTATCTGGACTCTGACCATGCCTTGGTCTGCGCCAATCTTACCTTACTTTTCAGTGGACAACGAAGTGACCGCCATCAACGGATTGATGTTAGCAAGCTGGTTGCAACTTCTGTTGCAAGTAAGTATCGAACCGAGCTAGCCTCTAGGCTAGCTACCACTCCACCGAAAAGTATAGATGAGCATTGGTTGCAATTGCATGACGCCATGAAAATGGCGGGAACAGTCAGTTGTGGGTTTGCGAAACGTCCCGCTTTAAGCACTGGGTTTCTTCTGGTTCCTTACAACTCATTGAAGCCCGTCGGTCTACTCCGGGTGACCGTGAGTTTGACCATAAACGAAGGATGTTACGTAAGGAAATTGGGCAAAGCTTGCGTAAGGACCGAGAAGCCTGGTGGTCGATGCGTGCTAATGAGCTGGAAGCAGCAGCTGCATCTGGTAACTACCGGAAGCTCTTCCAGCTCATCCGAGCCACTGGCAGCAAGAAGTCTGGTGTGAGTGAAACAATCTGCGAGGATGATGGGATGCCAATCACTAACATCCATCGACGTCTTGGACGATGGGCAGAATTTTTCGAAGGGCAGTTCAACTGGCCTGCTGCTCCGGCAACATCGGTCAGACTGTCCTGCCCTCCATGGCCGGTGACGACTGATCCACCAAACGAGGAGGAAGTCCGCAAGGAACTCCAACTCTTGAAGCGTTACAAATCACCTGGCCCAGATGACTTACCTCCGGCTCTTTTTAAAGATGGTGGTGACTTTTTGACTAAGGAATTGACGACGTTGTTTACAAAGGTTTGGGAACTAGAGAGTGTACCAACGTCATGGAATGAGTCGATAGTTGTCCCTATCTTTAAAAAGGGTTCACGTCGTTCCTGTAACAACTATCGGGGGATAAGTCTACTTCCGATTGCGTCCAAGCTATTGGCTTCCGTCATACTTCGTAGGTTGTTCAAAACCCGAGAAAGATTGACTCGCGAGGAGCAGGCTGGGTTTCGTTCTGGTCGAGGATGTATTGATCATATCTTCACCCTCCGCCAAATGTTAGAACACCGCCATACTTATCAAAGGCCAACAATCGTAGTGTTTCTTGACATCAGGGCTGCCTTCGATTCGTTGGACAGGACTGTTCTCTGGGATTGTCTATTGAAGAAGGGTGTGCCTGAGAAGTTTATTAACATCCTAAAAGCCCTATATAAAACACCTCAGGCAGAGTGAGGGCATACAACCACCTCTCTCCATTGTTCCATTCGAGCAGTGGGGTTAGGCAGGGTTGCCCAATCTCACCATTCCTCTTCAACTTTGCCATCGATGACATTCTGGAAACAGCTCTGATGAATGTAAGTAATGGTGGTGTGGATCTGTTGCCTGGAGAAAGACTTCTCGACCTTGAGTATGCGGACGATATTGTCTTACTGTGCGATAATGCCCAAGGCATGCAATCCGCACTTAATCAGTTGGCAATCAGTGTCCGTAGGTATGGTATGTGCTTTGCACCTTCGAAGTGCAAAGTACTTCTACAAGACTGGCAGGATTCTAATCCTGTACTCACCCTGGATGGTGAGCAGATAGACGTAGTCGAGAAGTTCGTGTATCTGGGTAGCTGCATAAGTGCTGGTGGGGGTGTGAGTGATGAGATCAATGCACGAATAGTGAAAGCCAGAGCGGCTTATGCCAATCTGGGCCACCTTTGGCGCCTTCGTGATGTTAGTCTGGCTGTAAAAGGTCGGATCTACAACGCGTCGGTGAGAGCAGTTTTGCTCTATGCTTGTGAAACCTGGCCTCTCCGAGTTGAGGACGTTAGACGACTCTCTGTGTTCGATCATCGCTGTCTCCGAAGGATTGCTGACATTCAGTGGCAACACCATGTCAGTAATGCAGAGGTTCGGCATCGTGTGTTCGGGCACAGAGATGATAATCAATTGGTGTCACCATCTTGAAACACCGACTTCGGTGGCTTGGACATGTTCTCCGAATGTCGTCCCAGAGAATTCCACGTCGTGCATTATTTGCCGACTCTGGGACTGGTTGGAAGAAGCGGAGAGGTGGTCAGTGCATGACATGGTGTCGTGGCATGAAAGAAAGCTGCAAAGGACTGGCTTGTGTTGGTCCTTCACGACTCCCTGGTTGGGGTCTGAGAGATGGTGCTACACAGTGGCTAGAGACGTTATCAGATATGGCTCAGAATAGAAGCCAGTGGCGATCCTGCTGTAACCTTCTTTTACTTTCTTCATAAAAAGTGGTTGTGTCTCCTTACCTGAAAGATTTCTTCTGATTGTACCTTTCGTTCCCTCGTTACTACCACACTACCTTACACCAATCTCTTCGTTATTGTTCTCTTTTTTTTGCGCTCCTTAGTTTTTTTTCTATTTCTCTTCGAATTCTCATTGTTTTGTGTGGCGCATATATATTGGCGCTCTCTTGTACCAATATTCATGTGTTCAAATAAAATAAAATAAATAAACAAAGGAAAAGGGAAGGTGATGGTCATTAGAAGAAAAATGAGATTAAAACCATGGTAGAGGAAGGAGTTAGATAAATTTATTTTATCCACACAGTTCTAGTTTATTCAGATGTATAGCAAAAACTTTAGCAGTGCTAAGACGAAAGCTCACTGTCTTCGACAGCTTTCTACTTACATTAAAAAATTATTTGAAACGCTGTCTGTTTTAATTAATGATGCTATTTTACGAGTTTTACGTTTTTGCATTAGCCTGTCTATATGTAATGTGACAAACGTACTCCTCCTGCTACTACTACTAGCAGTAGTAGCGGTCGAACAATAATAAGGGATATCTAACCTACAATGAACAGAAGTTTTAAACTGATAAGTTAATATTTACCAAACGAATGTAGGTGCATATAATGTTTTTGCTATAAATTATCTTGCATCATTGCAAGAATAGCGAAATGAAACTAAGCAGCTCTTTTTGGATTGGTACATAGATTTGCTAACTTTATAAGCACTGTATATCAGTGGAGCGATGAAAAGGCTATTAAGTCGTTTAACTTTCAGCCATTAAAATCCCGGGTTTGAACCCCGCTCTACTCCTATCTGGACAACCGGGTGAGCATTGTTAGCGCTCAAGCTCATGTGTTTGATGGATGAGTTAATTTACTATAAATACTGTATAACAAAAATGACAGCATATATATTAGGGTACGAACCAACTGAAAAGTACTGCAACGTAAACCTAACCAACTATTCCACGAACTAGTCAGTCCTTGTCGATATAAAATATTCGATTCTAGACACTATGGTGTTATATCACTACATAAAGTCAATAAGGAAAATCCTGTTGATACTGAACACTAGACTATATGTTGTGTGATGATGTAGAGTACTTAATTTGAAAGGAACTATTCTATCTTGATGGACAATAAAGAAAGCAGAAGAGACTGAAATACAGAAACAAATAAAAAAAAAACAACTCATTCAAACTGTACAAGTACACCTACAATACTGTAACTCATTATAATTGTGAAGTTACAAGTACTAACTAGATAATTGCACTGAATTGTTTAAATTACATGGAAATTCTTAATCTGTTTAACTGAAAGTCAGACGTCTATACTATATAGAGATAAGGAAAATTGTATATAGGAAATCTAGTTCACTAATCAAATTCGAATGCCTAGCATCATCTAATATTTCAAGCGATATAATTTACCTTGATCGTAGATATGTTGTTGAGAATGGTGAGAGAGATGTGAAGTAGTTGAATCTTTGGAAATAGAATGTTGATTAGGATGAAGAACAGTTGAATGATGATGATGTTTCATTTGAACTATAGAGGGTCCTTGATGTCGTGACTGGATAATGCCATTGACTCCGGATGATCGTGTTTGTAAATCTGAAGATGATGTACAACAAATAGACCCTGTGACAAGATTATTATTACAACCAATACCACATCGATGTGGAGGTACCATAGGAATTTGTGATGATAATGTAGACGACTGTGGTGCTACACAGTGATGATGGTGATGATGATAATGATGATAGTGACATGTTAATGCAGCTGTATTTGCTACAGTTGCAACATTAACTCCTGTTAAACTTCCTGTAGATCCATTTTGACATGAAGGAGCCAATCCACCACCATTACCAAAAGTAACAGAACCTTTACGATCTCTTTTTTGAATACTATCCTCACTGATTTGTTCTCTAATACGACGTTTCTTTCGATAGTACACCTAAAAATAAAGAAAAGTAAAATGACTTAAAGTGGATTTTTATGAAGTTTTAACAGTTAAGTAATCATATTCTTAAACATATAGAACTTTAATTCTTATTTTTCTCAACAACTAATCTTCGTGTTACACTTAAACAAGTTTGTTTAGTTCTCTTTTTATTAGGAAAAAAAGCGGAGTTTTGAGAAATTCGTATATTTAAGGATTTTGTAAATGATGAGAATGTCAAATGTCCAATAAAAATAAACAACATATTAGACAATAAAAAAACCAGCGCAGAATTTCTCTCAATAGAAGTGTTAATAACAAAAATAATTCTAGGCTTACAGAAAGAAAAAAAACGAAACGTTACTCAAATAGGACTGAAAAAGTAATCAAACAAATACATTTTCAACCGTTTTACTATATGAAAGTACTTTAAAATAATTGATCGAATTAGTAAAATATGATGATATTAAAGGTGGGATAAGAGGTAGAAGAGGTTAAGATAATTATACGGACTCTAACTATAGGTAGACTGAACGTACCAAAACGGCTCAGTCAAATATAGTTAATGAATTCATGGTTAATGGATAGAGACCACCTAAGAGGGATCGGAGCAATAAATATGATCAGTAGTTGGACGTTAGGTAACATGGCTAAGCATTCACTTTATTTTCTCATATATATTGCTTTCATACATAACTATACTTTCAATGTTCAGTCTTTCCCGCTAACAATGGTATCATAATTATTTCAATTCTTTTGCTACTCATTACATCCATTGCATCGCATGATTCTGATATGATACGGCAACATGGGTTAACGTACATTTGTCCCAAATTGCACGTTGATTATAACTGATTCTTAAGTAGTTTGTTGTTTAGATGTGAATAATCCACTTTTTAGTAACCCGCAAATTTTCCTTAATAATTAACTCTCTCGTACAATGTATGAAATAACACAAGTATCTTCTAGGGTAGCTTTCGTTTATTGCAATAATTTTTTTTTAATTAAATAAAGATAGGTTAATCTTTTTTGAGGAATTAACGAGTAGATACATAATTGTAATTGAGTAGTTTAGATTTGAATAAAATAGAGCTACTTCCAGATCAATAGAAGTATTGAATCCTTGAGATTCATGTACAACATACCAAGAAAAGTGTATCAAATAGAAAGAACCCACTAATAACTATATAATATCTATACACATAGTTCCCTTTATCATTTTGAAAAGAGCAAGAACAAACATTCTAACAGAATAGCATGAATTCATTTTTATTTCGTTTCGTTGTCGTCAACTGCTTACAACCTGTGATATTTAGAAATCATTCATCACATAATGGGTTTAAATTATTTACATGAAACGGTTTGGTTGGAAGTTACGTCGAAGACACATTAGTATAGTATAAATAAATTTAATAGACTGAATATTGTAAATATATACCTTATTTTGTAAAAGAACATTGTGACAACAGTTCAAACGGCTAGAAAAAAGTAAACATTCATAGGAATAAAATGAGTAGAGTTCAGTTGATAAAATAAGATTATTAATTTGAAAGATAGTTGGAATAATACTCAATGATGTGATAAGTGCAGCGGCCTGCTTGAGCATCTGGGCTATCTGTTCCTGCCATCTAGATATTTCAATAAGTTATCTATTTTTGTTTGTTTTAATATATCATTATGTCTATTAATCGCATAACCTATTCTGCTGCGTTTCTGAAAAGTGTACAACCTTTCGTTGTCAAAGTTACAAAAAATTCAATAAGAGACAATGTGGTTGCTGGCAATATACAACGTAAAGAATGCACATTATTCAGATGTTCATTTGTTGAACTGCTAACATCTAACTGGCGATCACTCAATATTTATCGCCAGGACCGACCAAGAAGAAAGAAACGGAAACTTGTTGAAATACTTTGCGCTGAGAATTCTATATTGTACCAAAAATATAATATTGAATAAAGCTAATGATAATAATATAAAAAAAATAAAGAATTCAAAGAAAAAGGAAAAAAGAACATATTAAGATACAACGATGGAATATTAGTCACCAAGGCAAGAAAAGATTAATAACTATCTCCTTTTGAACACATAAATAAATATAGTGATGTAATTTTACATTAACAAATCTATGCGTCTACACGAAGAACCCATCAATGCAGATATAAACTAATCAATTTGTACGAAGTACTTTTAATCCTTTATTGTATTATAAAAAATAATTAATTATGTTCAGAATAATAACCCTAACAGAGGAAGGTCACAAACTATAAGTAACGAGTAAATTCAACTAGTTACTAAGTAAGTTTCTTCCAATGTGATTTATCGCTCAAAAATACTTTAAAAAAATTCTTATCAATTATGTAGTTTCTAGGACATTTTATTTGATGTCCCAATATAGAAATTTTGAACAAACTCATCTCGACTTAAATATACAGACAAATCATGATTAAGATAATATAGATGACAATAATAATATAACACCCCAGCTAAATATAATTTCGATCAATAAAAATCTAGATAACTATTTTTAGATTATCATTAAGACGAGTAGAAATCGAAATGTTGGTGGTAATTGACAACAACAAAAAAAAGAACAACGCTAAATATGATAAGCCTACTCGTTTACAACATATGATTGATCCAACTTATCCGTTTTGGTTCAAACATAAAGGAAAATCACTCATTTATTTTATCTTATATACATATATTACTACTGATTAAACTTATGTGTAATACATATTTTTTTTATTTCATCGCTCAATGAATTGATCCCAATAAAAGTTAATTTATGAAAGTTAAAATCAGTAACAAGGATGTGGATATATATCTGATTTTTAGAGCTGGAAATCGTGATAAACTTAGTTGATAGTCCCTTGAGCAATATAAGTGTTATTGTGCTTGACCATCTTAGACGACACAAATGACTGATTAAATAACAGATGAGACAGTCTGGATGGTACGGAAAGGTTATAAGAGCTAACAGATTTTATAAATTAATACGTAAAAACAAATAAGAAAATTATTTGACTAATATAAATAACTATCAGTTTAGGGGTTGCGGAGATTGTTAAGTTTTTTTTATTGAGATCATGAACCGATTGATGTTAGACCACCATTGAAAACCTGAAAGCAATGGACGACCGCTTCGTCCCATTAAGAAGCCGTGACCAGTGGAGCTAATCCTTGTCGGGTAGAGACAGGTATCTACCTCAGTACAATGGAAGTTGGTCGTGAAATTTCGTGGATTGGTTGACGTTAGACATTAACACCATTGGACGCCCGCTCAGCGGTCCAGTAGGTTAAACGTCCGCGCGCGAGACTGAAGGCCCAGGGCTCGAATCCCGCGAGAGGGATCGTGGACACGCACTCCTGAGGACGAAACGGTCGTCCAGCGCTTCCAGGTTTTCAATGGTAGTCTAACACCAATCAGTTCATGATCTCAATCAAAAAATAATGTAAACTTGAATAAACTTTGAATGTTAGTTATCCCAAAAATTGAGAAAACTTGTAACTTACACAGTAGATCTGAATGAGAACACCGGTCCACAGAATTAAACATTAACGGTAGGATAGTCTTTCTTTTATTCGAATAAATACAAGATATATCAATAGGATATTTGTAGGTAACTATTGTTATATGGGTTTTGTAGACATTGTTGAATATTATTGAGACGACAAGCTGACAAATACTAGGAATCAGGGGGGAGTGGACAGCTATTTTATTTTAGTATCGAACTCTTCAGCAGTACATATCCACGACTCCATAGGGAATGGAACTTGAGAGCTTGGAATTTCTTGAAGAGAACTTAACCTCTAGACCACTGAGTCAGTATTCAGAGGTCCAAATGTGAAACATCGATTAACTCGCGATATTGCTCAACTATCGTCTACTGTCCTTAGTTGGTAACTGCCTCATACCCAGCATAACTGGACCCCGTCCATTATGGCTACTCCCTAGAGCTACAGTGATTTCTTTTCGAATAACATTTACAGATAAATTAGATTCTTTAATCCAAACACTGTTTTCGAGTGAATGAAATTGTATATTAGTCAAAAAATTGAATTGCCTAATTACCACAAAACTCTCATAAACATATTATTTTTAATCTTACAGTCGGTCTTTGTGCATTGGGGGACAAGAAAAATGACAAGGTTTGTGAACTGCAAGCATTAACATGAATTATTGAAATATCTTTTTATGGTGCATAACTTAACAAAACTTACCTCATTAATATTTTTATAAGTTCGAATAAGATTCACTGACATTTTCATGACAGGTCGTTGTTCTAAATCTCGTGGACAGGGGTATTGATTACTAACATTTACTATCGGTTCACAATGAGCAACTATAGTACCGCGAGTATTACTGCCTAATCCAGCATCTTTGACATGGTTACATAATGTTGAATTACAAGTAATTTCATCCGCAGTGGAAACAGGAAATGGAAAAATAGGATAACAGTAAGTATTTAATCCGCTCTGCGAAGTACTACTTTGAAGTAAACAACTAGATACTACAGTTGTAAGATTTTTTGATAATGATGGACTACCTGGTTGTCCGCCTATGTCCATTGCGGTTGGTTGAATATCGGAATGGCATGAAAATATAAATGATTCTGAACCAAGTGAATGCGATAATTCCATAGGTTGATGAATATCTCTGTTAGTATGTTGTTGTATTTTAGTGACTGTTGGATCTAAATTGGCATAAGCTGACTGAGCCACTATTATCTGAGAAGTAGGTTGGCAAACATTTGTACTGGAAGTTACGTTAGTACTAATTATTGATACAGCTTTTTGAATTTTATTTTCATATGGTGTTGATTTCACGCTAGTTAGACACAAACTAGCTTTCTTTTGTCCGACGTCAATTGGCTTAGTAATTTCATCATTTGTATTCGTGGTTGAATGATGTTCCAACTGGCATAATTGGTCTGCTGTTACCAGTTGACCATAAATAGCACCACACGCACTCAGTACCGTGATGAAGATAGTGGTGGCTGATTTGCTTGACATCTGATAGTGGAAATTTGTGGAATGACAGCATCAGGCCAGTTAGATACTATCAGACTATTCTTGCCAATATTATGAGTGCTTGCATTGTTTAAGGATAGATCACTACTAACACGGGTGCTTGACTTCCCTAGTCTTTCGCCACTTACGGCCATGTGAATAAATTTCGACCGATTAACTGTAGAACAAGTGAGGAATGAAGAATAAAACACTCAGGGTGGATTTTGTGAGTTAAATACAGGTAAAAGAATGTGAATTATACATAAATAAACTGTAACTCGTCACTGAACTTAGATGCGACCACAGCTGCTACCTATACATAATGCTTGGGCTTGTCTGTCATGATCGTATAAACAACAAAAATTGATTAAAATACCAGTTACTTCAGGTTCTTTCGCAAGGTAGTAGAAATAATAGTGGTATCAGTGATGGTGAAAAAATTTTAAGTATAGAGAGTATGGTTCAAGCAGAGTGAATTCGTGGAATAAAGTATTTCTGGAACTCATGTTTCAGGGGAAGAAAAAGAGTGAGATAATTTGCGCTCCTACGACTGATTCTGAGCCATGTCATCTAAAAGCTCCAACCACTTGGACCCCAATTACGCAGTCTACAGTTACTAGCACGGCCTAAACCAGCCGTTAATGACTTCATGAATTGGTCTCGTGTTTTGGTTTAGCAGCTCTTAGACTGCTTCGAACCTACACTTGTCAGTATAACATCGTGTGTCAAGGTAGGTGGTGGTTGGTATGTGTATTACATCTACCGACTGCTACATCAGTTGATGGAAATCCAAAATCTCGTCAACCAGTTTGACATAAGTACCTACTACCATGCATCTGACCCCAACTGTCCACATTCCATAGTTTTGAAAGCAATCCATCGAAGGTTTCAACGATCAAGTACCAATAACTTACGAATATCCTCTATTTCCAAAGGCTAACACAATCATTTAGTGAAGCACAACGAATCAGTGTGCAGAATGCCAGTCTCTTCATTGGTAGACAGACATCTCAAAACAAGTGACGAAAATTAGGGGAAAAACAAGATAATAAGTCAATACTACCGAGATAGGCAGGTTAATGTAATTACGAATCTCCTTTTAACATACAGAAGTTGAGATTTTGTATGGCTAAGATTTCGACAAACCCAAGTAGTCTCCATAGACAGCTTTTATATACAATTAAAAGTGCTAAGATCAATCTTATGATCTGTTTCAATCACGTGTTTAACAAAAGATGGAAATAAGTAAATGTCGTTTGCGTCTATTAGGTCATTTACTCGAACACTACCAGTCGAGTCAGAGCTGTCATCTGACTTTGCAACCTCAGTCAGTCAGTAACAACGTAGAAATTCGTACGTACGTACATCAGTTCGAGTTGCCACACCACATTAACACAGAGATGCAGTTGTCGATTCAAATCCCGTAGTGGTAGAAGTAGTAAGAGTATAAGCAGTAATCAGGAAAATTAGTGTTTGGAGATGTTATTTAAAAGAGTATAATACAGTGAAATAAATTTGGAAAGAGAAAAAAAAGAGACAAGGAGGAATAAAGAGATCAAAATTTGGGAGAACACAAAGAGTGGATGCACCTGCGCCATTGCAAGCGATTTTGAGCCATGTCATTCAGGGTCTCTAACCATCGGTTGCTGTCATCGCGCGGTCCCCAACCAGGTAGTCTACACCTACCAATATGACTCAGTCCACTTGTCAGTGAATTCATGCACTTGTGCTATGTTTTGGTCTGGCCGCCTCTAGCTTTCTTCAACCTACTCCTATACCACTGAACATCGCACGTCGAGGCAGTCGGTCGTTGGGCATACGTAACACGTGTCCCAGCCATCTCAACTGATGAAGTTTCACTACTTCATCAATTGATTTGCCATCCTTACCTAGTACCCGTTTCCTGACAACTGCGTTACTTACTCGATAGTCCCAGGATATACGAGCAATATTTCAAAGACACCTATAATCAAATACTAGTAACCTCCGAATATCCTCTACTCTTACTGGCCATGTTTCACTGCTGTAAAGTAGGACGGAACGAACTGCTGCGCAGTAAACCCGTCTTTGCAACTTCAAGTGATGTTCGACAAGGCTGTTCACTATCTCCATTATAGAAAAACTGCTGGAGATTATGTTCTTGTCTAGATTTTTGGGCATTCATCGCCTACCAGGAGATCCACTTATCGACTTAGAATATGCAGATGACATAGTCCTGTTTGGTGAGAACGCTGATAAAATGCAGTCTCTTGGTAGAACTGGGAAACAATACCAGGATGTTTAGATGCGCTGACAACTTCACTTACCTTGTAAGTCTGATCAACCCTAATGGGTTGGTGTCTGACGAAATCTCTGCATCAATTCAGTAAAGCTGGTTTGGCGTTTGTCAACTTACGTGACATATGGCGAAGGCGAGATATCCGTCTATCAATTAAGGGATGAGTATACTGCGTGGCAGTTCATTCTGTTCTACTTGAAGGCTGGGAAACGTGACCATTAAGGGTAGAGGATACTCGTAAGTCACTAGTATTTGATTACAAATATCTTAGAAATATTGCTCGCATGTGTTAGAATCACCGGGTAAGTAATAGTGAGGTCAGACTCAGGGTATTAGGGAATGAGGATGGTAAGTCGTTTGATGAGGTCGTAACCTTCATCGATTTAGATGGTTGGGTCACGTGTTACGTATGCCTGAACACCGATTACCACGACGCTCAATGCTGACTAGTTGTGGATGGTTTGAATAAAGTTAGGGGCGGCCAAACCAGCACACAGCCACTGACAGGGAGGTCCTACTAACAGCCTTCTCTCAATGAGGGTGTTATTCACGAAATTGAGAGGACGAAAAGAGAATGTCCGGCGCTTTGACTGGATTGTCATTGATGCAAGTGGGCTCAGGGAATCTGGGGGACAGATGACACACGAACCTATTGTTGGTCACCGACTACCATGGGACAGCATCTCCCAACGTTGCCTCGCCATCTTGTGGATTAGACCTTTAGGTCAAACGTTCGTGGAATGGTCCCCTAAAAATCCGCCTGGTTCACTTTGGTAAACCGGGCGGTATCCGAGCTGTCACACAAATCGAATGACGAAGTGTAGTGCATATACAACTGATGCCTCTTTGTACCAATGTTTATGTATTTATTTATCATTTTATTTTATTTTAACACATATTGGTACAAGGAGGCACCAAATACATATGCGCCACACAGATCTCATTCGATATGTGTGTGGGGGCTGTGATACTACCCGGGTGCCCGAACCGATGCAGGTGGTTTTCTTACGGGGCCACATCCGGAGCCTTCGAACTGAAGGTCTGATCCGCAAGGCAGTAGAGCATCGTAAGGAGATGCAGTCCCATGAAAGCCGGTGACCAACAATTGGTTCATATGCCAGTTGTTCCTGCAGGATACTGGAGCCCATGTGCACCATTGGTTTGGAATCCAGTTAGTGCCGGACATTCGCTTTTCGTCCTCTCATTTTCGTAAACAACACCCCCGCCACGAGAAGGCAGTGAGTAGGACTTCCTTGGCAGAGGCTATATACGCGTGGCCATGTGAAAGCGTTTCGAGAGGGAGAGCGGACTCTCCCCACTTTCGGCCGTACCAGGGCATTTGTATTAATCTTAAGGGTTGAAAGGTTAGACAATGTTTCTCATTATACTTAAAGTTCCTACTTTCTAAGAATAACAGTTATCTTGGGATAATTGTTCGCTATCTTGAGTCGCCAAGAGACACAACTAAGTGTCTACCAGCTTGAGTTAGCCTACGTACTTGAGTGTTGGAATTACCTGTTACAATTACTACATTTGAGCACTTGGTATTTTGGAGATTAGAAAGCTTTTTGTAAAACGTGTCATTTTTATCATCTGAACTGTAGTCAGTGAGAGCTTAGGCAAAAACGATAGAGACAACGGAATGTTTGTGTCCTTCAGTACCATTTAACCGGTGCATAAGCGATTGAATACTGCAATTCAGTATAGGAAAGCCTGTTTTGGTTTGGAACTTCACACTATATCTATGAGGGCACGAGGAATTGCTGTCAAATCTCGATATACAAAAAGGCGAATCGTGTTGGTTGGTTGTACTAGCTAGGTCACATTAATCGAACGAACACATTAGGATCCTGTATTTATGCTTTCGGGGTAGTAAACATAGATGAAACCAGGTTCTAAGGTCTTAGCTAGTGACTCTTGTCTGATCTGACAAAGTATTGGAGGCTCCAACAAGTAGTTTGAAGGGGGATTTAGGAAATCTAGGACCGTTGGCATTAGTACAACGTGTAGGAAGACGTTGGAGACGAAAAACGAGGAATGATTATAGAGATAGAAATGTTGGGAAAAGAAAAGCAGATTTAACTGTGAACAAGGTGATTTCCAGAGTTATTAAAGTTATGAGGGTGATTGTCACTTCCCGGTCGGCCATCTCGTTAAAGGACACAATTTGAGGTACCCGAAATGGGAACCGAGTTAGGCATGGTTTTGACAACCTGATAGTGTGATCACAAGGTGCAAGGAACAAACGTTTGTAGCCCGTTATGGACGGTCTTTTTGTGAGTCTTTGATATGTTAGCTCGACAGTATTAAAGACTAACAGGCGGCACCGGAATCCATAGAGCAATACGAAGTGAATGGTCAACCTTTCCTAACCACCTCCACTCATTGGGTGGCATTTATTTATTTAAGCACGAAAATTGGTACAAGGAGGCACCAAATATATATGCGCCACATAAATCGTTCAATTTGTATGAGGGCTCGGGTACTGCCCGGGTGCCCAGACCGAACAAGGTAGTTTTCATAAGGAGCTATACCTGGAGCATTGTTGTGGATGCTGGTTATTCGTCAGAAACATTATTGCAGCCACACTCTCGTATATTTGGTGTATGGCTCTATATTTTCCAATCTAAATACATGACCAATAGACATTGTCACGACCAAGAATTACACTGTTATGACATTGTTTGATACTGTTTACCTGCTGATTGGCGAGATATGGTCTTTCTTGAGTAACACTCAAAGTAGTAGCAACCCGTTTATCATAC